GGGGGGGGGGGGGGGTTGGAGTAACGGTACCAAAGACCGAGCAACGCGAGGCGCACACTAAACACAAGTGCAAACTTTGTTGTAGCATCCTTGTAAGGCCTGTTTAAGGCCACTTGTTGGGGAAAATGGAAAGGCGAGGCACTGACTCGCTGACCGTGGCCCTTGTCAGCGACAGACTGAGAATGGGATGGGGAAAGGGAGTGAGCGATCGGGAGTGGGGGTAGGGAGGGGGTGCCCAGCATGTGAGACGCTCACGTCTGTGAGGTACTGCACTGTGTTGGAGACTACACGTGTAGGCCCTACAAGACCTACTATTATTTTAGTACCTAGTCTGCCAAATAGGCTAGATCTACTTGGCAGGCATGCGGACTTAATGAAGAACTAATGCTTTGACCGTTAGTGTGGTTTTTTCTCCCATTTATGTTCGTGGGCTTTGCCAGGTACCCAGGAAGCATGTCGATAAAGCAGAGTGGGCCCAAAAAAAAGTCTATATAAGAGGAATTGTTTAGTGAAGATATTGAAGGAAAAATTTTGTAATTGGAAAATATGTCGATACGTCAAAATGTTGATATATCGGCTGTCAATAAAAGTGGATTAAACTGTAGTATCGTAGGCTACATGTCAAGACGCTGTACAATGGGGTTTTTTATGCAAGGGGGAGGTGAGAAGTGGCCCTTTGTACATGTGACTGCCTTGTACTGGTTCGTAGAACAGGTTCTGTATTAGGATTGGTAGTTAATTTAGCAGCCCCCCCCCCTCTGATATCTCTCTCTCTCTCTCTCTCTCTCTCTCTCTCTCTCTCTCTCTCTCTCTCTCTCTCTCTCTCTCAATCGGAGGTGGTCTTTAAAAGGTGGGTAATCAGTCCCTCCGTCTTCAAGAAAGTTAACATGAAAAGCATGACTTGTACCTCAGTACTTACTTTTTTCAAGTTGTAAATTATCTGCAATTCTATCTGCTGTTGATGTATCGATTCCCCACTCATTCTCTTCGTTTGTAGCCATTTTGACGCTTTCCTGAAACTAAGGAGTTAAAAAGACAAACCTAAGGATACGAACAAAACTAGAAATTTATTGTTGTGTCGTTCAGTCGTCAAACTAAAATCTCTAATAGGCAAATTAAGACTAAAAATATATAAATGATTATTTAAAACTTATGGCAACTTGACATGAAAAAACAAAAAAGCTCTAAAAATGTAAACGCTTATTATTTTAATATTCATAATCTATTCCACTAACTTCTAAGGTCCTTGGGCAAAGCCCAGCCAAAGGTCAGCGGCTAAAGTTCAAAGGTTAGAGGTGAAAAGACGTACACATACACCATCTCTCACAGACCCACAGGCCAGCTTATCTCAGATTTTGTTATCGTAAGTGGCCCTCAGAAAGTGTAACCAAATCACCCCCCGACTGCCCGTGTCCTACTTCACCGTATCTCTGACGGTCAGCAGTTGACAGTGAAGGCTACATGTTCTCGCTGTGTAGTAAGGCTGTGTCACGCAAAGTACCAGTTACAAGTGTTGCTTCCAAGTTGCTCCGGCTCCGGTGTCTCAGCACAATGCGATTTGTACAGTTTGATTTCAACGGCCGTAATGGGCTTGGAGTGGAACTTTCTGACGGTGGGAACATCGTGGATCTCTCCGGCAATGATTCCTCAATACCTTCCAACATGAGAGAATTTATTGGAGGAGGGCAAACACTTATTCAGAAAGCCGCCAAGTAAGTAAAGTGTGGCAGTAGGCTTGCAGTTACTTTACAAGTACAAGAACTTACAACATTATAAATAAAAATAGATTATATCATGCATGAATTTATACAATGTTTCCTTCTATAATCCAAGCCCATGACAGACTTTTATCCTGACCAGCTCTATTCAGACTCGAGTCTAATTAAGATTATTTATCTATTTGCCGGGTCCGAGTGGGTTTATCTGTTCGGTCGGGTCCGGAAAAAATGTTTTATTTAATCTGACGGGACTTTACACCACCACTTCAGCATCATCATTACTTCCACCACCTTGTCTTTCCACATATTTAATTTCATTTTGTTGTGAGTTATAGTTTTTCTCCTGTAATTAATTATTTTTTAAATCACATTCGTACAAAGTGAACAGCCGTGACCTCCTCCCAACACCTCTTCCCTCAGCAAGCCGAGAGTGCGTGATAGCTAGGCGCAGTCTCATTGGTCAACATAATTAACTTTGACCCAGGCAAGGTGCGTCAACGAACATCAACTTGGTTGTTCTGTTGCCTATAATCGAAAAAATTTTCATAAATGCTGGAAGTACTTAGTTTAGGAACAAGGGTCGGAAGTCCGAACGGATGTCATGCTGGACTCAATTCAGAGTCCCGTCTTACAGATAAGACTGTATATATATGACTGTGTTTATATAAACGGATCAATAGCCATCATATAAATAAATAATGGGTCTTAATTCTTAAAATGACTTACATGTATTTATTTCCTAGCTTATGCAGTTCTGTGGTGGAAAAGACTGAATTTTTCTCAATATCTCCCCAGGGCTGTTGAGAGTGGTGAAAATGTCTTACAGAGAAGTCAGGTGAAGCTGCTTGCCCCAATCCTCAACCCTGATAAACTGCTATGCATTGGAATGAACTATGTTGATCACTGTGCGGAGCAGAATCTACCAGTACCAACTGAACCTATTGTATTCAGCAAATTCAACAGTTCTATCACTGGCCCAACTGATGATGTTCCTTATCCTGATGAGACAAAGGTATTATATTGGTTTGGGTTCTTTGGGTTGTTTTTTTCCCAAGTTAATGATTTATTACATGTATATATATGATTTATAATTATTCATGATTTATTAATTTTTTAAAGTCAAATTAATGATGATACTGTACCCTCTGTGTATGTCATGTACCATACTTCGAGTTGTGATTAAGCTGACTTTGCACTTTTTGATTCCTGCACATGAAATGATTCAAATTTGATTTTGAAGATAATTTATCTCTTTTTCCCTGTACCAGTTCTGAAAGATGGTACTGATCTGAAGTTTACAGTTCAGGTTTCGAATTTAATGCCATCAGTAGTTAAAATGTAAGAGAAGCAAAGTATAACAGATTTCAAATATAAATCATCTGAGGGAAGGTTACGCACACTTATTCTGCGTCACTTCAGCTTATTTGAAACTGATTTATAAAACTGAATTCATCAAAGGAAAGTTATAAATGTTAAACATCTTGATTCTGAACTGTTTTATAAAAATCAACTTTGCGGTTTAATTCTATTTTGCAGATGGTTGCGGAGAACCTACTTCCTTTCTCTCCCTTTGTTGTTGTCTATCATTCTTGCTTTTTTTGTAAGACAATTGTTACGTTGACTTCTCATTACCTGGTACTCAAGCTAAATGATTCTCTTTTGTATCATTTTTGAATATGTGCTAAATGCTTAGATTTTTCATCTATTATCTATTTGTGGTGGCCGAATTTTGCTATTCAAATGGCTTTTTAATGGCTGCATCGGTCGACATGCGGTTTTTGATGAAAGATTCTTTAAAATATTCTCCAGATCATGACGCCCTTCGTTTTTTCAGTTTTGAGACAGTTTTGCGGCAAAAAGCTAAATTTCTTTATTTTGCTGATCGTTTTTGTAGGCCGACGCTTCTGTCTCTGTAATTTTAGAAAACCTGGAAGTGATATTTCGCGAGGCGCATTTTTGTTTTGAGAGTATAGATCTAGACTTTCTATTTTTTTGCATCTCTCAAGATTTATTGCCCCATTCCAGTAGAGTGTAAATATAGTAGGTTAATGACTTTTAGTTGATATTAAAGCACCGATCATTCCTTTCATCGAAAGGGGGCCCAGCTAGTATATATATATATATATATATGTGTGTGTGTGTGTGTGTGTGTGTGTGTGTGTGTGTGTGCATGTTTCCCTTGGAGTTTGAACCTCTAGAGTAGCAGTTGGCTGATTTACAATACAAGATGAATCTTTACTGCTTTACTGATGTGTTTCGGTAGTGCAATAGCCTACTGCTTTTTTTTTGGGGGGGGGGGTTGTTTTTGTTTACTATCTGGCTGTCTTTTTAGCTTTTGCCCTTCAACACTACTTTGTCACACTTTATGCCAGATCATAATTATATAAATGGAAGTTGGGATGTTTGTTTGTTTTTTTGCGTAAAATGGAATTGGCATGCAGAATGTGCATTTAGGTTAAACAAGCATACTCTACTTGTTATGGTGCAGTGAAGAGGCTACCCTATGATTGAATGTAGGGCTACTGCCTTTGTGTTCATGTTCCCATGTCAATTTGAACTGGAAAGCGTGATGTAAGGGGAGTTCTTATTTGTCGGGGGGGAAAATGTACAATTGTAAATCTTTTTTTTTTCATTTTCTTTTCTCACTCGTGAAGGAACTTGATTGGGAAGTTGAACTGGCTATTGTGATTGGAAAAGAAGGGAAGAACATTTCGGTAAGCTTTTCATTGTCAATAGAGATTTAAAGTTGGAAAGTATTTTGTGGTTGTTAAATTTCTGATTTTATTTTTAATTCTTGTGGTTTTGCTTGTATTGAAAGCAGCCTCATACTCCTTTAACTTATCATCATCATCATGCTGGCTTGCTTTTCCAAATGAACTGAGAAGTAATGCATGATTTTCATTCCTTTGAGTAATTAGGCATCATCTTTTCTGGTTGACAGCAGGGCCATCTGCGTGGTACAGACAGGTATTTTAGGTGCTTCTGATTGATGTAGAAAAAAAGGTGAAGGAGTGGACTGAAGTGAATCGATTTTTGTCTTTTGTCTTGAGCTAAAAGCCTGAGACGCAAAGCCGAACTTTAGTGACCTTGCACAATGAATAAATATGTCTATATTTATTTATTTTAACCATTATTATTCTTTGTTGATTTTACTTGTTCATTTGTTTCGAGAGATGCTTAGGCATCATACTTTGTGTTGGGGCCATGTTCTTTCTGTAAATTTTGTCTTTATTTTGCCTTGCCATCTCTCTTTGACCATAATTCTTGGCCCTACTTCTGGAACAGCATAAACTATGGAATAGGAACTTACCATAGAGAATTGCCACCTTAATGTATTGTCATGTACCATTTTCTTTCATATGCTTGCTATTTATTTAAGCCATTGCTTTGTGGGAACATTCTTTTGCAATCAGGCTTTTCAAGTTCACTCTAGAGATGATACTATGTTAATGACAATCATTCATCATTTATTTGTAATTTAGTGATGTCTTTTGCTATTTTTACTCTTGCTAGAAGTAGAACTCCTTGCCTCAAACTATGGCCCTATCACCAGCACCTTGGTGTACTACTTTATTTCAGCTGAGCGTTCTTCACTTACTTTGCACCTCCCCCCCCCCCTTTAATCCAACCCCCTCCCCTTCCCATGTCCCACTCCTAAAGGCTGAGTTGCGAGAGCAGTAAAACCTTATTAAATTAACAACTCTTTAGGCTCTCTTGCACTGTATGAGCATACATAGTTTTATTAACAAAGCCGCTTTATATTTCAAACACAGGTAATATGTCTCTTTTTTATTTGGGGGTTTTCTTTTCAGAAAGAGGAAGCTATGCAGTATGTTTTTGGGTATACTGCAGCTCATGATGTTAGTGCCAGAGATTGGCAAATGCACCGAAACGGAGGTCAGTTTCTGATTGGGAAAAGCATGGATGGCTTCTGTCCACTAGGCCCTGCAATTGTCATGAAGGAAGATTTGAACGGTTTGTGTTTTTTTTCACCAATAATGTTTATTGTAACTAGGCCTACTTTTTGGAATATTACACCTATCAGCATATGAAGCTGAAAGAGCCATAGTAAGTTCATTAATGAAAATAATTCAGTTCACATACAAGTTTTGGCACTTTCAACACATGACAGATACTGTTGAATCAATGTAAAATTGCTTCCAGTGACCAAAGGCATGTTTGCCACTGTTTTGGGACTGCTTCTGGATGCATTTTTTTTGGTCCTTATAGGTATTATAAAGGGCTACGGTTTAATTAAAAGTATTTGTTTAAAAAAAGCAGTGAAGTTTTGTCCTTTTTAAATGTACAACATTGAACATCATGGGGACTGAGACAAGTTTTAACCTGGGACTGGTTTTCTTTTCTCTACTCACATGCGCTTTTCTCCTTACGTCAAACTTTTGTTTAGAAGTTTGAATAACGGTGTCACTTTGTCTGTCTATTGCAAGTGTTTTGATGCAAGATCTACGCAATGTAGAGCAGATATTTACAAAATGTTCTTTCTGTTATTCTCAGATCCGCACAATTTAAAAGTATGGACCCGTGTCAATGGTGTTACGAAGCAGGACAGTAGTACAAATCAGCTTGTGTTTAAGACTGAAGAACTAGTCGCTTTTCTTTCCAGGTTAGTGTACTATCACGTGTGAATACATCTATTTTCACCATGAAAAATCTTTTGGGCTTCAGCATCTGTATGGAATTGGTTCCAAACTGTGGAGAAAAAAAATCATGATGGATACTCAAATCTTTTATGAAAAAATAACATGCACTTTTGGCACCAGTTGTCTGGATGCACTTGCTTGTACTGTACTGCTATACTTTGAATTATCACTGCATAACATTTAATGCCTTATTCAAAGTAAATACTTCTTCTTTGGTAATTATACTTTTGTTAATTAATTCAAATGACAATGAAAAAGTCTATGCAGATTCCCTGTCAACATGGAAATCTGAGTCATGGCTATACAGTCGAACCTGCCATGACGGATGGACACTTTCCATTTGCCCCCTTGCGTTTTTTCTATATATAATTTAACTATGTAAAACGAGCACCTGTCCAACGCGGCCACTATCGCGCCCTATTATTTTATCAACCCACGGTCAAATTTACCTGCATCAGACGGCCAGGTGTGGTCACTCATTGCCCGATGCTTTGTCATAAATTTTTAATTGGTCCTTAATGCTTTGGACGGGCGTCATAATCCATTCACCTGTCATTATTGTTAATCACTCCAATGAATGTTTTTCCAAGTTGACCAATGGGCAAAAATAAATTTTCAACTGCTGGTGAGGGAAGCATGTGATCCGTAGTAACCTATAAGCTCTGCCCACAACTCATGCACAAATCGCATGTGAGGTGACTAGTGACTGTTATGTTTACCTAATGTCGAACAAAGTGACAATGGACGTTGACATGAACTTGCAACAGAAGCGTCGCTTGTTCTCCGAGTGGTGGTGACCCAGTGTTTGCTTTACCACGGCCCTCTGTCTTCATCGTCTTACACATTTCATTTGTTTTACCCTTGCACAAAATTAGCAACAAAAAAAAGGCTTACCAAAAAACAAACCCTCAAAACAGCAACAACAAAAAACCCTACTTACACCCCTCCCCCCTCCCCACCCATTTTCCATTTTTCAAAAGAAAAAAAAAAACCTTTTGAATTTGCCCTACGGCAGTCCAAAGCCTGAGATCAGCCCCGGTTTGGACCTCCGAGGAGAATGGTTTGCTTTCTTCATTTAATCAGTCCTGCCTAAAATGGCCACCTGTGTTATATGGCCACTTTTCTCCTTGACAATGGTTGGCCATTTTACACAGGTTTGACTGTACTGTATATATGTACTCATGGTGCTAGAATTTTAAAATCTCAGTTGTTTGATGCTCTAGATGCTGATTCTTCTTACTTTGTTGTAATAAAGTGCGTTTAATTTTATTTCATCATTTCATTGTGTGCTTACTCCCTATGTAAGATCTTTTTTGTATGTTTGAGTAATGGTTGCAGAACATCATTTGCATCTGAAACTGCTTCTTTCTTCACAGATTTTTCACCCTGAAACCAGGCGACACAATCCTAACTGGCACTCCTCCTGGCGTCGGTGTTTTCCGCAAGCCACCAGAGTTCCTCAAGGTAGTGCAAGAATGATACCAATAGCAAATAACATTTTAAAAATTAATTTGTAGTTGTAGCATGTTGTGTTTCACACCTCATCTTTCACGCACACTGCTTCTTTTGCTCCGCCATGGCCCAATCTATACTGCAACTTTTTCTAGACCTAACTTTGCAGAATGATGACAAGCTGTGCAACGCGTAAAATCTCTGTTGAAGAAGAGCGCACTGTCACACATGGCACCAATACCAAATAGGCCTGTGTGCCTTCACGTGACCGCAGACTCTTCCTCACATAACTGAAATATATTCTGTCTTCATCTACTGCTGAACACTTTATGACTTGTGGCCACATCGTTCTTCATCGTGATCATCTGACTCTTTTCCCTTAGTATTGGATATATGGGCTGCCAATAAGGAATTGTCGCCTATCTCTGTTCTGGATGATCTTCTTTACCTCAAGTCAGCTGTTCCTCATATGTCTGAGATATGCCTCCAGATCTAGTTCTGAGATGGATCTCAACCCTCCTCTCTTCCACCTACCGTAAAGATTTCTTTGTTAGGTCTTGTCACATTGTGGACTGTCTTGGCCCTGTCATTGCTCTACACTAGTCTACACCATTACCTTTGGCTTATAGAGAGGTCATTGACCTTCACTCAAACTGTGTCCACTCTCTCTCTCTTTCTCTTATTATGGATACAGTCCGTGCCGGCTTTAAGCACGTTTCGGACTCAAGCACGCTAAACGGCTCTTACCAAATTTTTGCTATATAAATTACACGCCTTTAAACACGGCAACTTCGGCTTCAGGCACGTTTCATTTAATAGACAGTCAATACTTTTATAATGACCCATCGAAGTTCGAACACAGTCTAAACCGCAGCAGTGAGTGTGTTAAGAGAAACACAAAGAATGCAATTGACCGAGACACACACTGACACACGCGGAGAGGAAGACAGAGAGATGCACACAGCCGCGCGCATGGATATAGGATCAAAGCTACACACAGACAAAACAAAAATACAAAGAGAGTCGTGGTGACGAGAAAGGGAGGCTGGCTGCGATTTCACCTTTGACCCTCGCTATCCATTAATCCTGATTGTGTATCACGCGCGAGATGGGATGAAGGCGGTGGTAGTGGTATGAATGTGGCACAGCGGGCAGTGGTACGCACAGGCAGTGTGTAGGCTTAGCGTGCTGTATCGTGACTGGCCGTCTAAATTCATTTTTCATTTCCCATTTGACCACCAAAAAAAACAAGAAACAAGCAAACAAAAACTACCATGGCGGTATAGGCCTACTTACAATTTAAAGGGAAATAGCACAGGAAATTTTCTAGATGAAAATCTCTGGTTTATGTCTACTTTGCACTCAAGCACGCTTCGGCATTAAGGACGCTTACGCTTTCTCCCGATGACCATGCTTAAAGCTGGCATGGACTGTACTTTGGCAAATGAAATTTGCGGTCGTGATTAATTAGATCTACTGTCTACCCTCGCTGATGCTAATTCTTGTCACTGTGTATGAATTATTTACGTTAAATGAGTGGGTTGAATATATAAGAATATAATAAGAAAAAAGTTGGGACCTGAAAATCTGTTCGAAATATGTTTTTTATTCTATGTGCATGTTTGTTGTGTGTGTGCTAGACACTATTATGTAGTTGTTGTTTTCTCCAAAATAATTTGAAATAGAATTTTGCGTTATAATAAGGCAAGGGTGATACCAATAATGTAATAAAGATGTCTGCGGATAGATAGATGAGAGAATCTTTTTAGCCCTCTTGACACATAATTTCAGGGATGGGACTTCATACTCTATGTGCCAATGGACAGGCACTTTATCATCTATATAAAATCTTTAATTACAATTTAAAAGTAGGAATTGAATTAACATTGGTGTTTGGTTACATTTGCTCTTTTCCTCTTGATTGTACGGAAGACCTGGGAACGTTTCACATTTGAAATTATGGGGACACAGCCAACAGTCGGCAGAAGTGGATTTTAACTAATCAATCTATCTATATTCTTAACCTAAGCGACTATAAACTGAACCCAAAATGCATATATATATTATATATACATTAGTGTGGTATAGCGGGCATACTTCATGTCAAATATAGACCCAATTGTCCAACTTCTTGTAAATTTATAGTGAAATTCCTTCATAAGGAAAAGATTTCCGTGTCCAGTTCATTTAACTTTGTGTACTAGACTGTATTATGCTGTATATATACCCAATGAGATTTTTTAATCGAAACATTTTCACTTCAGTAAATTTATTTAGAAGTTCCATACATATTGCCTTGGTACTTGAAACATGGGTGTTTCAGGTTCATTTGAAGTTGAGAATGCAGTTGTGTATGAAAGGAAGTGCTGGTATTGGAGTAAAATGTAATAGTCGTTATATACTTAAAAGCAAATATTTAAAATATCAATGCATTTTGTCTCATTTCAGAGAGGAGATGTTGTGGAAGTTGGCATTGAAAATATTGGGACTCTGACCAACAAAATTGTTTGAATGCAAAACTGACTGGATGTTTGGACACAGACACTGCAATCAAGCTAAAAGAAGAGTTCAGTTTCTCTAGCTTTTTTTAAGAATTCTTATTGCATCGAATGTTGCTATGGGAATACCATAGGACTTAAATGCTATCCATTATGCTGTATTAGCTATTCAGATTTTTTTTTCAAAATTACTATGTCTGCTGATACCATTAAATTTGACTTTTGCTTAATTATGTGTAAAGTCCATTATTTCCTATGCCAGAGGACTTAAGACTCATTACTTTCACTGATTAAGTACTGTAATATGCACTTAGTGGAGACAGAACTAATTCGTTTGCATGTGAGTGTGAGACACCTGTTTTTATTTTATATATATATATATTTGTTTGTTTTTTTAACTGTATCAAACTATCATTGATACTTTTGATTTAGATTTGCACAGTCAAGGAACAAATTTAGATAAACTTGCTTAGTTTTGAGGGAGGGTGGTTGTCTTAAAATTTATGAAAGCAAATTTGGACACTACTTGGAACATTTTTCACAGAAAAGGACAAGTCCACTTGATCAATAAAGTAGATCTATTTTTATTGTATGAAATGTATGAAATGTTTCAAATTCAGACGTTACTTATGCAGTATTATTAAAAAAGATAACTGAAAAGTGTTTTTGTCTGATTCTTACTTCTATTGTTTGTTCCGGGCATATGTGTAGGCGCCAAGAGAAAGGTACCTAAAGTCGCCCCAGATGTTTCGAGCTACAGGCTGACTGATAATGACAAAAATAACTTTTTTGACCAAAATGTGTTTCCATTTTTTTTAAATGATAGATCTAGATCCACCATTTTTTTTACAATGTGCTCCAAAGGTTTTCACCTATTTGACATCTAAATATTTTATTTAAATTATTTTGAGGTTAGGGTATAATAAAAACAAATAATGAAAACTGCTATTATAAGGTGTTAAACTCTATTCTTGAAGCACGTTTTCTCTTCCCTGCTATGTTTTACCATTGAATTCCATTCAGGATATTGATGTCAACTGAATGCCAAATTGGAAATGAATTTTCCAAGAATGAATACATTTAAAAAGTCATTTTTTCTTAAAATTTGTATGTGTTCTCACGTTTGTTAAACTTAAAATCTCATTTTCTCAAAATAGTCAAAATTATACAGGTATTTTTATACCCTACCTTGCAAAATGTGCAGTATCTCAAAAACTACTTGAGATATCTTAAAAATTCAAAGACCCCTGTGTTCGGCATTGAATTTCCTTTAAAGGTACAAGTCTTAACTTAAAATGGTCAAAATCCGGACTTTTGGTACCTTTCTTTATTTTAGGCACACACACATTACTCTTACACTAAACAGCTGATATGTGTCACAACAGGGTGGTATCAAGCACTAATCAATTTTTTAGCATGTTAAGTTATTGGTATCATTTTTAACATGGTCATTTATCTTGCTTTTGCTGAAAAGAATACACTTCTGACTTGAATAGAAGTTGAGATATCTGCAATTGAAGGAGGTGGGGTTGTCATAGGTAAAATTAGCAGGAAAATGGTTGCCAAAGTTTGGTGACTTCCTTTTAGCTCTAGTTTTAGAGATTGTAAATTTATACTTTTTGTGCCTTCAATCAAATGTTTTTCAGTAAAATCCACACTTAAATTTTTATTAAATTCACATTAAAAAAAGGTTTTGAGCTTTTAAAAAAATTCGATAAAAATTGCTCAATGGGTGAAAAATGTTGCTTTTTTTATATTTCTTTATTTTGATGAGCACCTGATTTCACCATGATGTAACACATATTATTATAATTAATATGTGTATAGACAACATGCTCTGCAGCCAATCAGAAGAGGCACATGTCTGAATAGGCAAGCAAAAATTAAGTTTTGGAAGCAATATACAATTCTGCTCATCATGGGCAAAAACACAGTCCAGCTGTGGTACAGTGGAGTCCACTTATAACGAGTCCGGAAAAAATGAGAAGTCTGTTATAAAGGCGCTATTCTAAAACCCCATTTTTTTCTCCTTTTTACCTTTGTATACAAAATACTGCTATAGCGCTATCAGACACACTTGTGAGTCGGTTATAGCGGAATATTGCTGCTGCTGTGCACATGGCATAGGCCAATTATACATAATGCAAGACCTTGCCAGTTGAGAAACTTGTTGCTGATCTTTCGAAACAAAGAATAGGAGAGCCCATGTGCGTCAACAATGAAGGCCGGAGCAACTGAGTAGGGAGGGTGTGGCATGTGCAGACAAGCAGAACGCATTGCGTGATAGGCCAGTTTAGATTATCAAGGCCTGCCATGCCTCTCACTTCTCCGATGCGGGGATGGAGAGGTCACAGCAATGTGATGGACGGAGCGAATGTGTGACGTGCGCAAGCAGACAGAAAGCACCACAGGGTGGGGTGGGGGGAAAACACAGCAGGCAAGTTAGCCCAGAACCCTTTCTTTCTGATCGCCAACGCCGAGCTGTCAGTCCACATCGCTAGATCTAGCGCTAGAAAAACCTGATTCGATTTTTGATCAAGTAAGACCTAGAGGTCATGTTGAAACAAAATCATTATCGGGGGAGATAGCAAAAGAAAAAACAGAACACCAAACTAATAGATTAGGCCTACTTTACAGTTTCCCTTGAATTTATTACTGGATCCCTTATAGCGAGAATCCTGCTATAACGGACATTTTGCTTCGGTCCACTCCCTCTCGTTATAACAGGATTCCACTGTAGTAATGTCTAGGGTTAAGTTTCCAGCAGTTCTACGTATGACATTGTATCCATGTCATTTTTCTTCCTCTTAGTTCACCCAGCTTCAAAATAGTACTTGGGTAATCAATGAAAATGTGGACACATAAAATAATATCATATGGTTTCTCAAGTAGAAGATGGTGTCAAAATATTTTTAATCAGACATTCTAAATACAAAAGGTAGCAGATGCTACTTGGAAGAAAGGACACTTTAAAATAAAAAATTATAAACATTGAAATTTCTAGTTTCACTATTTTGTGATATCGTCTCAGAGATGTACAGCCTGCTTTGTTTTGAAATTGATTACAACAGATGATTCAGACTTAGAATTTGGGTCGATCAGTAAAAGTGACAATGAAGATAATTATGCTAAATGTTTCTTGTCTTGGATCACTGGGTCTTCTTTGCTTACTTACTTCTATATATTTATATATATAGGTCTTTGTGTAGTTTTTTTGTGTGTGTCTGTCATTATTGAAAAGTGTTTTTCTCCCTTCATTTTGAATTGTTCTTTATAATTTTTACTTATCAAAAACTTGTTTTGAATTGATAGCAAAAGGTAGGCCTACATAATTAATGTCTTTTCTCAAAGTTTCAATGTTTATTTTTATATTGATCCTTGTTGTCATTACTTTTTTTTCATATTTAAGAAAAAAACCCATAAATCCGAACATGTACATGCAACAACAAAGGGGCAGAGCCATATTAAAGGTCTGTGAGTCAACAAGTGGGAGACAAAACTAAAAAGTTAAAAGTTCCAGTGTAATAATAGCGGAATGGTCAGTTCTATTTTTTAAAGCTTCACACTGCTGGACATTGTAATCTTTGAAAAGGTACAGTGGATCCCATTTATAACTATCTCTGTTAGTGTTATTGCAGGATTTTGGCAACAGCAGACTTATAACTTTTATAGAAAATCCAAGAGTCCGATCTCTTCTATTGTATAGCAAAAATAATCTTTTACAGCTTGCATTCAGAGACTGACATGCTCAACAATAACTATGGTGTGTCATTGACTACTAATGAAGAAAGAAAACAACATCCAACATGGTGAACTGCACTTGCCGTGATCCACAGTAGGCCTAAGCTGATTGTTTAGCTTACACATTTTGTCATACTGTGTGTGCAGGGGAAGTGGGGGAAGCTGGATGCACTTCCCGATGTCGATGCAAATCCAGTCAATGACTAGTGTGATCTCGGTCTAGCTCGACATTCCCATATTGCCTCCCCATATGGTGGTGAGACTTGTACTGTACTCAGGAATTTCATGATTGATGAATGAAAAGTTGGCACTAGAAGAAGATTTGGGTGTGTGTTCCTTTTCTTAACATTACTAACAATTGTGATTCAATTGCAAATACAGTGGAACTCAGATTCAACGAAAACTCGGATTCAACGAAAACTCGGATTTAACTAAATTTAACGATGGACTCCAACTCCATGTTTTTTTTTCTTCATTAAAATCAATAAAAATAACGTAGTTTCAAGGAAGATAAAAAAGAGTAAGCTCGGATTCAACAAAGTCGCTTGCCGGGTGAACATTCCCTGCTGACTCGGCTTTGCTCATTTTCTCCTGCAACGAGCTTTATCTCTTCCTGGAAACCATCCATGGCATCTCCATCATGAACCATTATTCGCTTAGCCAATTGTTTACATCTTATCTGACCAATCAGTGGCTCTCTTTTATACCAACACACCCGTTGTTGACACGCACACATGTCTTTGCATGTGTCAGGGTTGGACGGGCAGCCAGCACACGTATGTGTTCGTGTGACTGGGTGGAGGGGGCGCAAGTGATTCCGGCGTGGAACATCAGTAGTCAGTTGAGATACAAACATGCCACAGTATTCACCATCATTTTTCACCCTGGCTACTAATCAATGCTACAATGATATGATAGTCTTAACATACGTAATGAATTGCATGCTGGTCTGTGGAATCAAACGTTGCTGTATGCTATGTTATACACAGCAACATAACTTGTTCGGCTAACGATTCATTATAGATGATAGATGACAGAGATGTACATTTGAAATACATGTAATCGGACCTGTTCACAGTGTGTACCTGGAGGAGTTCAGTGTATTTTCCTAGAATTTTCCAGCATTTCTTCAGTATGGCATCAAAATAATCAAAGATACAAAACTGTCTCTCATTCGAAACCAAATTACTTTTAAATTCGATTTCAATTCAAGAAACCATACATTATACATTACTTGCTTCGTGCCTGTAATTATCTACACGAAAACCTCATGATCGCTTTAACGAATACTCCGATTCAACTAAATTGAAGATCAGGCCCAACGATTTGACTCTAAGTTCCTCTGTACATGTTAAATAACGTACAGTAAAAGTGCACCAAGTGTGCTGAAGACTGTATAGCATGGAGCTATTAAATGCAATTATTATCCATGCATTTCACATGTCTAGTTACCACTGATACTATTAGCATTACTAAGCTGCTAGAAAAAGGAAAATAAAGATGAGGAGAAAAAAATATATAGATTGAAAAAGACTGATAAACAGGCAGGGAGTTGTCTATTTAATAAAGACAATCTCTTGTTCATCATTAGTTACAGTTACAGTGTGTGTAACTGTAAGCTTGATCCCCTGTCAGTAACAGGACACCGCAAAAACAAGGATATCACTTCGGTCCCAGCAGTCCTTCTATAGAGTTGTTGCCCACTGTACTTACAACCCTGTTGTCCTCAGATCATTTAGATGCAAGGAGGTAATTGAAAAAGAAAAACATTTTTTAAAAATGACAGAAGTTTGCTCGTTAAAATAACAGTAATGCTGAGTGTCCCCTACAGCTTGAAAGGTAATACTAAAGATAGGTAAACTGGTTACACCAATTATAAGTCAAAGTCATAGAATAGATGCCATCCTTGGAGAAAAGCAAGGCTTAAAAAGTCCCTCGAAATTTTGAAATTTGTATCATTTATACTTGTCCGTCTCATTTTGGGGGTGGGGAGTGTGTGGCACAGCTTTCAGTCTTCAGGATATAATGAACATCTTCCATGGCAGTATACGTCAGCACACAGTTTATGCTCTTCGTTTCATTTAGTCTTCGAAAAAAAACGTCAGATCTGCCTGCATGAGATGACAGTACTTTTGCTTTTTATCAACTCCCTTTGTGAAGGGAGCTTGGGCCTCTATGAATTGAGAAAAAAATCCTACAATTTTTACAAACGTGACCAAATTTAACCTCCCCTCATAAATCCCCCTTCCTTTCCTATTTAATACTCAAAGCAGTTAACCCCTTCGGATGTTAAGATAATACTTTATTATTATCTCAGAGGGATATCTTCAAAATGTTCATCGCTGGTATGCCGGAGATCGGATATTACATCATGAATTCATTGGATGGAGTTCACCAGTATACCCATGATCGAGAGGAGTATATTACTCATGAGCTAAAACACAGAATTCTGTCCCTAAAAAGGAAGGGAAATCATCTGTGTGGAATTACGAACTTGCAACTTCCTCTTCCATTTACAAACTGTTTGCATTTCAGCTTTTACAACTTTGTAGCAGGCATTTTGAAATTGATAGAACCTTCTACCATTCCACCATGAATTCAGGTGATGAAGAACCAGGAAATGGTTATGAAAGTGATACTTCACACAACATACATGCACTCTTATGCAAAACTTTTCCCCCAACCTAATATTTATATAAATATATGCAGAAACCATTTCTAAACAAGAAAACGTAAAAATTTGAGGGTCATGTACTTGAAGAAAATTTTTATGGTCTTTTCCCCAAACAGAGTTTACTTTTTAGCATTCTTGCTAAAGGAGGCCACACACTAGGGTGTGACAAAACTGGGTGACCACCATCTGAAAGCGTTAATCCATAAGATACCTCAATTGTTGCGAAATATGGTAATTGAATTCTTCAAAAACATACAACAAAACAGAAAAATGAAGGAATATAAAGTACAAATATTTCACTTTATTTACAATCATAAATAAGAACACATGTTTGCAAAACTGATCATAACGACCTACAGTAAATCGAATTTTTTTTTAAAACACAGCATGCAACATCAACATAAACAAAAAGGATAGAACACTTCATTTATGTTCCGTGAATACGCACCCAAGCAATGAATCATCTCGCAGAAGACATAATACCATTTTTACCAACTTGCTTACCACCATTACAAAAGAAAATAATATCAAAACGAGCCTGTGTTCTATACATGACTTTCTCTTTCATCATTGTTCTAAGAAGCGACTACAATTACCATAACCCCAATGCAGCCGTCCTCGTCCTGTACGATGTGACCCTTGGAAATAATTTCCTCATCATTAAATTTAAAGTGAAGACTGGGTTGCATTATCAACCCTTTTCTCAAAGTCGTACAACTGCTGCATTCATGAATACTGACATTATATCAAACATCAATGCAGAATAAAGCATATTTACATAAGACATTAATTACTGCGTTATTGTATCCTTCTAGAAAGTAACTAGCCTCGCTGAAGAGGAACTGAGCTCACCAATGCTGCATTTGTCAAGTTTCACTTTTTTGTGAACCTTTTGAACAGACAGGATCATATACATTATGCAACTGATGAAACTAACACTAACTCATTACTCATCCGTACAAACCACATCAACGACGAGCATATGTCCCATCTTTTTTCAAATCAGAAAATGCACTAGAAAGCCTCGAGGTTGAGCAAAAACTTAATAAGACCTACTATTACATTCTTAGTGTATCCTTTGACAATTGTCCTGACCTAAGATACTGGCTTTATTATATCTATTTCTAGCATATCGCCACAATCTACCAGCTTAATGGCCCACACAATAAACCCATGCATAACACTGCCTTCACAATGAAAGCATGTCAAACCATAATTTATTACAAAGCAGTTGGCTGCCTCCATCAGTTCCTTGTTGTGCACAGTGAGTAGCACTGCTTTTTTTTTATTTAAATACTGTACCAGCTTGGCACCAAACAAGCTACACAAAAATATGGGCCTCTTTGCAACCTCATTGCTTAAGTACTGTAATGGTAATATTAAAACATTTGGGCAATATTATACCGCTCAACTATAAGTAGCAGTGTAAAAAAATCTTCATCTTCTATGCTATTTCAGTTGCTCTCCCAAATGCATGTGATATGGTAATAGAGGCATTTCTTTTGCAAAGGGAGAAAAGGGATTATATTATAACAAACACCTAGTAAACTTGAGATTCTCACTGTTTTTGTTGTCACTTTGTCACTAACGCATCATTATGAAATCACTGGACCACTCATACATACATACATACATACATACATACATACATACATACATACATACATACATAACAAAAACTAGCATTTGCACCCTCCTCCTCCACACACACACACCCTGAGAGACATGCTTTTAGAGTTTGTCACTATTCTTTGATATTGTTTGCAAGCATGTTGCCATGGTAGGAATAAGGCCAAAAATTAACATTCACTACATTCAGAAATTTCATAGACTGTAGCATCCGAACTATATCATTTCTAAATTCATAAGAATAAGATTTTAAGGCAAAAGCTACTGCCCAACAAATAAAGGATAAGCAAGCTAGAAGAAATTAACCTCATCACTTTTAGAAACAAAAAGATTTGTACTGACTAATGGCATGCCAAGCACATACACCGACAGGAACATACCTATGCTGTTCATTGTGTCTGCAGGCATACAAATTCTCAAATATGAAATGGTCAACATTTTCAATCACTTATCTTGATGAAAAAATCAAGACCAAGTCCTTTTAGTACTGACCAGTTTTAAAGTGAGAAATGCAAAAATGTAGTACATCAATGCACTAATTCATCCTCTTGGAAAGATTAAAGATTGACACTAACCCAGAATTCCCCGATGAAGAAGTCTGATAAAGGATGTCAAGTTGCAGTGGAGTCAGGTTAAACAGAAAAGTTAATCCAAAAACAGCAGTAAACCAAAAGAAAAATAGAATCCCGGCTATTTTCTCTGCAGTTTGAGCAATCTCTCTAAACCGAAAACATGGCTAAACCAAAGAAAATCTGGCGGCCCTGCAGATTTCAATTTAAGCAGACATCACTGTATATAGTTATTGGACAAGAAAAAAAAGATGTCACTTGTTGAATGGGGTGGTGTAACCATAGGTTGCCATGGGGATATAAAGTATTGAGCTACCCGTACTGGAAATGCTTTGTGTCTATCCTATTGTAAAATACTACTTAGTACAAAGCTATTGAATTTTGTGGTTCTTGTCAAATTTATCTTTAAAAATTAAAATTCTACTGTCACTAGTGTCAGTTTGAGAAAATGTTACTTTACTGAAATGTTACTGCAAATACCAGTTGAGCTGGTGAATAATACCCCCCTCAACCCTGCAAATTGACTGAAGAGTACATTTTCAAGAATAATGGATTTTTAAAATAGAAAAGTTCCACACAAAAATAACATGATATTGCAAGAATCCTGATTCTAAGTGGCCCCAATTCAATATCGCAAATCTGTGATAGACTTCACAGCCTTAAGCTTCATTTTTTTTTTTTAAGGGATTTCTTCACACAAAATGTCCAAAAGGAAAGAAATTAGTCAATCAAGACACTGGCCTGCAAGCTTCATCATAACAAACCCTTGGTCATCTGAATCACGAAAGTGGGGTTAATTAGTTCCTTTTTTACTCCAATGCATAGCAGACAAATTCAGAAGCCTAGAACAATTTTAAGTGTACTGGGGATTAGGGCTTAAATCTAGATAGTTATTCACACTGCCTTATCAAAAAAGAACAAAAAGTAAGTTGGCCCACGAGAATGTCTCTCAAAATATTTTACCAAAGCCACTATTTTTTAATACCAACATTCTTCATGTCAGAGAAATAAACCCATAACAAATGAGATATGCAAACAAATTTTCAGCCAGAAAAGGTGTCTTTGTATATCCCTTTTGGCAATGTCAACAACCTGCCCATCAGTATTCATGAGAAGACTAGTTTGAATAACTCGTTACAGCATTCATTCATCTGTATTATACACCTTTATACACAAAATACACCACTGCTACAGGCAGATTTTATTGGCTTTTAATGAGACCATCAAACCACTGATTTGTTAACTTCAATGGGCAACAGTATAAGGAGTACATGTGTGAATTTTGTGATATGAAAGAGTAAGAAACGGTGAAGCAGATGGATAAAAACACTCTTTCTTTCCCCACAAATCCATAAAGTATTTTTATTAGAGCATAGAATAGACATTCATAAGTTGGAGCATACTGTTATATAGACTAATGGATAGACCGACTATACATAAGATGAACTACGCTTCACTCTCTCCCTCTATAGTTTGTTGATCCTCCAAGATGGGTACAATGAGATTATCCTTGGACATGAGATTGTACTTGATTACAAATTTTGTAAATCTTCGACACAGGTACGTCTCATTCTGAGGTAGAAAGAAGAGAAAAGCAAAACTAGGTTAAAAGCCTGCATCAAGTTGCTGAAACATGTATATCTCACTAGGCTCAATATTAATAGAACAATGAAGTTTGGAACCATTCATTTTATCACAATCTCAAACAAATGACCCAGAGCTAAAAATCAGTACATATTGCTAAATTGAATAATTCTTAACTTAGAGATATAAATATTTTAAGCTAAAACACGGACACCCAACATTTACATTATCAAAAATTAAATATATGAATTCTTTTAAAACACTTATTATAAACATATACAGCCTAGCACACAGAACAGTTTCAAGTCCCAAATTTATTTCTTAATAAATTTTCTTGTATTAAAAACCTGTACACGGCAAAATTGTACATAAAGAAAGATTTCAACGCCCCCGGCAATTTCTCCATGTACGTGCTATACTGTATGTAAGGTATAATGATATTTCAATTATAAGCATGACTAAAGGTTTAAGAGTAATAGTTACAACAAAAAGAGCAGTAGGTATTCAAATTTGAATGCTTACCTCATATTCATCAAAAAGCGTTCTGTGGTGGAAATAAGCATGGGAGAATATTCTGTACACCCTTCGACAAACTGATCCCAACTTTGCTACTGAAGAATCTTTTATGCTTACTCTGAGGAACAAAAGCAGTAAAAAGAAAAAAAAAAAGCTGTGATAATCATAATCTTTTTGGATTCAACTACACACATGAAATGCTGCTTGTACAAATCACATTGCAAGTAAGTATAGGGCAATTACCCAAAAATCAGAGCTTCCAGCAGGATCTTGATTTTTCGGGTCCAGGGCAGCGCCCTGGCAGGAGGTTGAAGTGGACAGCGTTCCCCCTTATGTTTGAGATTTTTTTGCTTCAGGGCACCCTAAATATGCCATTTCTGGCTATTCAAGCCTAAATTTAACAAGGTAATAATTGATAAAAAAACAAACCTAGCATACATCATTTTCTGCTTGTGTTAATCCATATAAATCCCAGGCCATGCTGTCTCCCTTGTACCGGTAATGTACAACCATAATACTTTAAGGTATCGAATAAGCATCTCCCCCCCCTTTTTTAATTTTCAGGGTTTTTTGCGCACACCCCGCTCCTTCTTTCGTACCCTCCCTGTTTATTATTTTCCAGCTTGCCACGACCGACAATCATCAGAATGAAACCTCTTTTTTTGTAAATGGCAAATTACCCTCAGTCTTAGTACAGGTATTGGGTTGGCTACCTCAATTTTCAGTGCATTTTTTAAACTTGTGTACAATGGTTTATATTTTTTAATGCATCTGGTTTGTTCCTGAAAGGGGAAAGTTGTCACAGTAACTTGTTAAAATCACTAAAATTTCCAGATCTCTTGTTCTTTTATTCACTGAAGGAGAAATTACACAGATTTGTTCCTACTAGTACTTATTAATTTTTGATCACTTGTCCATCCTCCCCCCCCCCTTTTTTATACGATACCTTAGGGTAATAAAATAACAACTAGATCTATATAGCTTGACAAGTAAAGTTCAACTTTTTTCCACTTGTGTTGGTTTGCACCATAATGTGTAGAATCCACATAATCCAAGGCCATACTGTTCTTCCTTGTACTGTACACCTATAATAGTATAACGGCTAGGCCTAAATAACATGACAGTTTATGTTCAACTTAAATCCACAACAATATTTACAAATAAACAAGTCTGATAAAAAAATCAAGCTCTCTTTAGTTTCTTGGCAGGCCCAAGATCTATTGAACCACATTTCTTCCTCTCGTTTACAGTCCTGGTGCTCTGCTGCTTGTGCTTTAAAAGTGAAAGACACTGTCTACACTTTCATATGAAAGAGCACTTCCGGTATGGGTTGGCTATTGTTGACTATTAGTAATTACTGAAAATTTTTATTTCCCATTTAACTTTTTTGTTTTAAAATCTTGTTTGCACTAATTTTGCGTAAATTTTTCCATTTGCTGATATCCGCAAATTTGCGGAAAACTGGAAGCACTGAAAAAGATAACACCAATACAACTGCATCAAATAGAATCTCCAGGCTCTTTGCCAAGCACTTCCATAGATATGTTCTAGCAAGGTATCTACAGAGATGCCAACCAAACAAAACCAAAATGAGTATTGGGAAATATGAAAATGTGTATTTTCAGGGGAAAATGTGTATTCTCCACGACCGACCGACCAACCAGTAAAATGTTCAGGGTGTCCAGCAATATTTCCTGAAAAAAAATTACGAGCTCACCAGCTCGAAAAAGGGAGCACACACGCGTACAATATGTATCCAGTCAACTACATGTCAGTGTTCAGTGTCGTACTGGGGTCTTGTTTGACTTAAGTATTTCAGTCTGTTATAATATTTTCCACTCATTATTATTATAAAAAATTAATCCTGTTTTGAGCGTTCGGAAGGGCCTAGAACAAGAATTTCGACTATCAAGAACCAGTCTTGGTGTCATGATTCATATTATGAACTGACAGACTAAAATTATTGCTCAAACTCAGAGAAGAGCAATAACTTGAAAGGCTCAAGTAGACCCGTGCACTGTGAGAGTTGTAACAACTGTGGGAGGGCAAGATGCAGTGACACTGAAAATCTGCCCGTCTTGAACAGAAAGCTACAACAAACACTGTAGGTATCATTTACTATCACCCATCCAATGACACGCGAACATTTTATTTCAATTACACAGACTTGCAAAGTATGAAGGGTCCACGGCCTGCACCAACGCGTGCTTTACATGTGCAGAGAGCTCTAATCAAAATTCTGAAATTTGCCTCCAAGTTTTTGCCCTCTGGTGTTGCCTTCACACCCCCCCCCCCCTCCTCGAGTGTATTTTAAAAAATCAATAATCCCCTCCCATAGTCCTATAATATTTTGCAAGGCCGTTACTCCCACCAAAGACGTCTTTGCTCACACGATGCCGCATTTATTTGTGATGCAAATGCGCGCAGGTTCAGTGACCGGTCACGATGGCGAGCCCGACAATCTAAAAACCGGACGACGCTTGTATTTTCTTTTCTTTTTTTCCTACAAGTAACAGCACAGAGACGAATTCGAGAAATTTTATTTGCACAGCAACACAGCGTTTACACTGCACAACCTGCATGTGACAAATAAGTTGCGTTATCAGTCCACCGCTTGCAAACTTCTCGGTGGTAACGAAAGCGAAAGTAGGTCTTGATTTTTCCCGATCAAGCCTTGGTGTCACATACATTTACGTCTGCCGCCATAGCCGCCTGTTCGCGTGAAAGTAAAACTTACTCTCGGAGGAGGACCTAAACGAATATTATCACAATCGCGACCGGCAAAATGAACTTACTGACCTTATCGGACTTGGTTTTCAAATATTCCAGTTCCGTGATACTGATACTATTTTGACAAAAAAGGGGACGTGTGTTAATTAGGTTTACTCGCCCAAACTGGATCTCGTATTTTTCGCATTCCAGGATGCGTATTTTTTCATGAAAAGTCGTATTCGCGTATTTGCGGCAAAAAAATCGTACTAAAATACGTAAAATCGTACTGGTTGGCATCTCTGTATCTAACAACTTAATACAGACTCTTCATGACCAATCTTGACCGTTTCACTCTTACATTTACTTCAAGTCACCGATATCCGTAAATCCTTTCAGTTGCCAAATTTGCCTGCTCCCCCCCCCAATTCACTCAAAAATAGCATGTTTGAACAACTGAAGTAATTTCGGCAAATATAGTTACAACTCGGACAACTAAAAAAATCAACTTTCAAAATACTGAACAACTCTGCGTGCGAAGTGATCGTAACCAAACAAAGACTTTGAAAGTTTATTTCATGAGCTACCTTGATGCACTATTTTGAACTTGTTCATACTACACTGCTGTGAAAACAGGCTAGTTAGAACAGTATTCTTTCCCAAACATAGTTGCTAGGATTTTTTTTAGATCACTTTGAAAATTTTTTATAAAAGACATATTAAGTATAGCACTTTAGTGGATCATTTCCCCAGTTTTAAGAATTCAGAGTATACATAAGGACAGTGAGCTATGTCGCAGTAATACTGTATTAATTTTGATACTATATTTTGGAAATTGCTCTCTTAACTCTTTATCTCCGAGGGGGGATAAACCCACTACGCCGGGACCCTTTTTTAGTACTAAATCTAGTAATGACGAAAACGTCACTAAATGGGTAATTAAATCGAAACTAGCGAACCTATTATGATAGTACTCACCGGCACAGCAGTTCCAACTGCGAGCCGCTGGGAGCGGCTTGCCGGAGATAAAGAGTTAAAAAATTATAGAAGCATTCAGTTGGCAGAAAAATGAAACGCATACAGCTCATATATAACATCTGACTCATTTCACACGTAGAAATTAGAAAACTGCATTGAAGTGTACCTGCTAGGAAAATACTTGTTGCTGTTTAATAGACAGGCTGCTCCATCCAGTGTGTGCCTTGTGTAGTCAATAGCAGGACACTAAAAATGGATCAGATAGTACATTTAATGAATGAAAAGAAACAACATACTGCCAAAAAGGTCATGGATTATTGCAGAGTATTCTTTAAAATCGTACCAATAGTTCCATAAAACAATGTTCACACCTAAAGATGTTAAGTGCTTTCCCTGCTCTCAATACATATAAAAATGTATCAAATATATGCGGTAGAAATGGTTCAACCAACAGACTACTGATTTACACTCTTCTTATTTCTCAAGAAAATACAGACACAAAAGACAAAACTAATAATGGAGACTTGCTTCTCCACATACACTATACAAACAACTACATTCATAGAAAAAACACTGCACATTATTCACAAACAATACATAATTGAGATTCCTTACTTCTTTCGGGGTCTTATGTGCAGCACAAAGAAATATCCACTGTTCTGTAGCTGTCATCTGTGTACAAGTTTCAGGGTTACATTCAGCCTGCAAAATGAAAGGAATGTTTCACAACATCAGATCAGAGGGTGCCACAAGGAGATCCAACTTACTTCAGTGTCCATAAGATAGATCAAATTTTTGCTTTACTTCATTTACTGAAAACTAAATGACCATCACTGTCTTGCTGAAAAGTCTTTGCTTCAACTCTATACCATTGATACCTTTCTTCATCAGCCTTCCTCTGGTGGGTCCATGAGGTAGCCCTCCGCAAGCATTTAAACAACTTATGGAGCAGTTGACTGTTACATGTTGAATGCAATGATCCTTGCCTTTCCTGCTGACACGCATACTGATTCTGAACATATTCTTATAATTGATACCAACATGAGCATCTCCAGTTTAGAGGAGGAATTATTTTACAATTTTAAGGCAAGATGCCCCTACAAACCAGAGAGGCATTAATTCTTACTATCCAAATAAACTATGTTTTCAAAGCAGTAAAAAAACCAAAAAAAACAGATCTTTAGAATTCTTCACTGATCTTGCCTGCAGGAACTAGGAATGGAACTCAGTACTTTGGCATGAGGAGGGGCAAGCATCTTACCTCAAGGCGAAAACACTAAGAAGAAAACTATAATAAAATAATCTACAGCTATGGATCATATACATCACTACGATTAATCATATTTCTGCCAAAACTTGCATGACAAATTTATAAACAAAACAAAATCTACACTGGAAAAAATTTCAAAGATATCAGTTCAAATTTAGTACAGCAATACAAGTTCATTTACTACTGAATACCGCAACATAATGTTATGTTCTGATCTACTCAAGCCTGGAGAAAATCAAACATAAAATAAATATTAATCAAGTTTCATTATTGACCATGAAAAGGACAAAAAAATTCACACTTGCTTCCTTCCCATTAGCTTAAAAGTAACTATCCTGCATTTTTAATCAGGATCTGAAACAAACAAAAAACAATTCCTTCCCAGACTAAATACAGCTGAACCTGCTCTAACAGCCACCTGTCCAAAACAATCAACTGTACAAATGACCACTTCCCCATTGTCAAGGGTGTTTTTTTCTGTATTACAACCACACTGTCCAAGATATCCACCCGTCTAAGAAAACCACTTTTTTCCACGACAATGGGTGGCCATCTGTATCATAAGCAAGTTAGACTGCATACTAAGTAAAACATTCTATTGAAAGTGTAAGCCATTAACCGAAAAATCTTTCTCTAATTCAATTTGCGGTTCATGACTGCCTTGTCAGTTTGAAGGCAGCTGATGAAATTTCAAAGAGCTCAAACACTTACACATTACCCTGAAAAAAAATTATTATTTTAAAGGACTTTAAATTTTGCCATGCATTGTTCCGAAGCTTCAGCAAATCTGAAAAACACCTCATTGACACCTTTGTCCATCAAAAAAGAAGCAAACAAAAAATACCTTGATAATAATAATGACAAAGGTCTTCAAACCATAAATACAGAGGTATTTATTATTTCAGCTGCTTTTTGCCCTTTGAGTACTCTAATTTTCTTTTTCTTGTTTTAAGAGCTACTGGACCTGCATTCAGTGCATAGTGCCACTACAAAAGAACACAATCTTAAAAATTACCAACCTGCAGCTTGACAGCAATACCATTCAGTTCTAAACAAAACTGCCTGAAAAAAATAAATAAATAAATAAAGATTTTTAAAAATTCATCTTCACTATTGAAACTTATCCCCCTTATGTTAGCCATGATAATTTAAAGAAAAATTTCTAGATCAAGGCATAAACCATCCACCTCCACAAGTTACAATAAAATGTTTAAAATGTTTTACTTGTCCTATACTGACAGTCAAACAACTCTTAAATGAAGCAATAGACAGATGTGCATTGTGTATATTACTTTATTATGTATTTGTATGTGCACATTTTGTAATGATCCGATGTGTAAGAGTGCGCGTGTGATAAGCAAGTAGACACATGTGTGTGTGTGTGTGTGTGTGTGTGTGTGTGTGTGTGTGTGTGTGTGTGTGTGTGTGTGTATGTGTGTGTGAGCGTTCATTTGGCGTGCATGTGTGTGTGTGTAATATGTACCTGAGTTTATGTGTGTGTGTGTGAGTGTGTGTGTGCAAGTTTGTGTGCGCGTGTGTGAATATTGTTTGTACATGCATTTATGTAAAGCGCCTAGAGGTGTGCTCACACGGGAGTGGGCGCTATAGAAATTATCTACATTATTATTATTATTATAATATTATGTGTACATTTCTGCCATTCTCAAGAAATGAGCATAGCTGGAGCACCTCTTTTCTTCTATTTGTAATAAATTATTGGGAATTCGTATGAAATCAGGACTTTTTCAACTGAGAAACAACAAGCAATAAATAACTGATACAAATCGGCCAAAGTCTATGACTTTTTGAAATATATGCCCACTACTTTTGAAAATGTGTTTATTCAGTTTAATTTTGTTGCAAGATGATAATACAGTTTCTTTACAAGGCTTGGTCATAAATGTGAAACCCATTAGACACTGCAAAGATGCTCAAAATAAATGTACAAAGATGCCACTGTCAACTACAAAACAATCAAAATGAGATGTCTCATCAAATCCAGGGAGTTACGAAGAGAGAACATGAGTCTGACCTTGGATGTCATCAAGTACCGCTTTTTTTAAAATCAGATGGTTACTGTTTAGCTACATATCTACCACAAGATTAGAAGGAAATTTTACAATAACTTTCTATCTTCATAAGCCACATTAAAGGATTTTATGAGAGTATAAATTGTGCAGCAATCATATCAATGCATAGACAAGTCATATTTTGGCTTTCGTTACTTCCTGTAATAAGGGGTAAAATAGTAGCCATTACCAAATAAGGGGAGAATGGGGGCTTTATGGAATAGCATTTAAATGTACTCTGACAACTGTGTTTACACATGATCTGTCTCGCGCATCCTCAACAAGCAGGTACATACTTCCTAAAGGCCTTAGAACAAAAGGACAGACAGTAGTCAGAAGAAGAGTGTCAATGAATGGAAGATAGAAGTACATTTTCACGGATTCATGGAAAACTATCGTCACTGCTTCATGATCAAAGCCATCTGGTTCGGTCACTTAAAAAAAAATAAATAAAGATTTCTATTTTTTTTCAAAAAACTGATAAGGGTTTTTTGGAAGGAAAAGAAGTTAAGAGAAATCCATTCTTCGAGGAGGGGGAGTTTATCAGCAGACCTGCACTTAATCCTGGAAGCTAAAGTCTCTCGAAATACACTCTGCAAACAGAAATATTACTAAAACATTGCAGAGTAGACAAAAGAAGGAAAACAGAAATTTTTCTTTATTATTTAACAGTAAAAACTTTTGATCAAACCAAAGTAAATCTGAGCCATACCTCAAATGTTCATATTTCCAAACTCCTTCGTCCTGGCCCTCCGGAGGATTCAAAATTTGTTCGACGTTCGTGAAATCTTTCCTGATTGCTTGTTGAATGAACTGAAACAGGTAATGACAGTATATATAATATATGTGTGTAAACTATACATTTTAATATTTGATTACCATCACAATACCAAATACAGTGGTCTCTACCTAAGATCCCTTTGCTTACAATCCCGGTTCACTTAAGAAACCGATGTTTTAATACTATACAAAAGACACCCCAAAGAACCCACTCTGAAGGAAGACATTCGGCTAAAATCCCGCCATTCAGATCATAATTTACAAAACAAAAACTTGGGTGGGCACAGCTGATCAACCAGGCAGTAAAACTTTGCGACCAATCTACTGCCGGCAGCATCACAGATCATCCACTTATGAATATGATCACATCTCCGTTGTAAATCTCCAAGAAACAGTACAATGTTTGCCCAAGACAAGATCACACTTCAGTATGAACTCGTCAGCACATTTGTGTTCCCCAAACATCCCACTCTTATCTGAGCTCTCCGCCTGAACTTACATCACAAGCTGTGTGGGTAGAGCCTACAAGTTTTCCCTGCTTTTGTTTCCCTGATCATTGCAGCAGTTCTTTCTGCACCCCAATTTGCTAGACTAGTCAGAGAAGGAGAGCTATACATTTTCAACAGGTAAAGGGGAGAAGCAATAGGATCGGCATAAATCTTGAGACAATTTCATGAACGAACATTGCATGCCTCATGCCATTGTGATTGGTCATCAATGTTGACCACTCTTTGCTCCCATTAAGTCATGAGTCATAAACCCACCTAGGGGTCACGTCAGTTCATTTCTGAGAGTAAGGGGAGACCTTCTTGCCAATTATGGGACTGACCATGAGTCACCGTAGAGTATCCCCTCGGTGCATCTGTTAAGATCCCGTATTTCCCTTGCTCCCAGGCACTGGGATCTTTAGCAGAGACTACACTGTATCCTGTACTTTGAAAAGTCATAAAACTTACGTTTCTAAAGCAGGGGCAAAAAAAGTAAACTGGCAAATCTTAGGACACATCCACTCACATTCCATTGTCGTCATCACTGCACACACACACACACACACACACACAGAGAGAGAGAGAGAGAGAGAGAGGGAGGGAGGGAGGGAGAGAGGGAGGGAGGGGGAGAGACAAAGAGACAGACGGAGAGAGAAAGACTCCACCATGTGTTAAGGGCATAAAGAGGAAAAAAGAAGTTTTACATGGAAAACGAAAAAAGCTTTTAGTTGGTAAGATTGCTAAATGTGTAAAACAGTTTTACCTCCTGATAATTGTAAGCACTGACCACTCATTCCTTCATAATCCTAGTCACGTCACATTTATTAAAATCTCAGGCATATATTTACCCTAAAACTTTCAAAGGCTGTAACTTATCTCTATACTATGACAATAACGGCATAATTTGTATGCTAAATAACTCAGAAGACCGTCTTGAGGCAGGACAAGAGAAACACATTATATATATAATATATATGAACAGTGAACATGAACATAATGATACATACATCATCATCATCAAGAGCTATATCTGCAGCAAACATCTGCAATCGTGGTTGTCAATTCATTCCTTTGCTTGGATGCTCTTAACAAAAAAGCAACAACACACACATAGTGAACAGAATTTCTGGTCTTGAATTTTGTCCTAAATATAAAGAAACCTTTGTATTAAAATGTACACAATATATAGCGAAATTCGTACATATAAAAAGATTTTTGCACCCTGCCGAATTCATTTTATGTGTTTGGAATGTATTATATTACATGAAATAGTCAAAGATCTTTTCTAAACCTTGTACAGTACTCACTTGCTGAACAGCTAGTGTACTATCCATCTCATCAAAGGACTCATCTTCCCAGTTGCACCAATCCTAAAAATAAATAAAAAATATATAGTAAAAATGGAAGCATCATGAAAAAATTGTGGTGTATATATGTTTATTTTCCTTGAACCAGATACAGCTTAAGTTGTATAAAAAGATAAAATTAAAAAGATTAATATCATTACATATATGGACACGAGATGAGAGAAAACCTGATTATATACTTGGAAGATCTGATAGACAGCAAAGAAATCTATTACAAAGTAATGAGAATAAATAAACCCATAAATTATTATAAAGACTTAAACTAAAATTCGAACACTGAACCTCCTTTGACAACTAATGGCTCATTTTTGTTTAACAGATGGGATTTTGTTTAACAGATGGGATTTTGTTTAACAGATGGGATTTTGTTTAACAGATGGGATTTTGTTTAACAGATGGGATTTTGTTTAACAGATGGGATTTTGTTTAACAGATGGGATTGTCCTTGTAAATGTTTAAAAAACTGAAAAGGGCTCCTCTCCATGAAGCATATATCTATATGGATATATGTGATGTGAGGTCAACACAATGCAGTACTCATACTCTGTGTCAGTTCACAGCAGTATAGCCTTAGGACCAACCATTGCCAAAACACTGACAGACTGGATTGTCTTTGTGAATGTTTCGAAATCTCAACTGTCAGTCTACGCGCCCACCAAAATAAGATCACTTCCAGGCCAGGCTACTGTACGACGTTTTTGCATGGTGTAGAACAGACTCAAGACAATTCATGTCCACCGCGCTAGACCACCTAGGCTTAAACTATTTTAAGCCCAATGTGTTATGACTACGAGAACAACAAACAACACAGGCACAGGCGATTTATTTATTTATTTACATTTTCAGCATTGTTTCTGGTGTGTAGACTTATAGAGATCATATAAGTACAGGTCTAGACAAGACTGTCTTTAAAAAAAAATTACGCAGAGGCTTGACCCTGGCATACATTTTAGCTCATACCACAAAGATTCTCCACTCGTGTAGAATTTTTGCTCATACGACCGCGAAGGCTAACCTATTTTTAGCTATCTAGATAACGAAATAATCTAGGTCAAGTGCTTTAATTCCATTTTTTTTGCTGTTTTTCAGTACAAATCTACTATTGTACAACATATTATAATGAGATACAACTATATTGATAAATTGATAATGTAAAGTACAACGAACAAGCACAAATGTACTTAAACATGCAAATTTCCTTCCAAAATGAGTCGAATCGAGGCTTTCTTCGTCACATGTACGGCTGACAAAGAAGCGTGCATGCAGGAAAATCGCGTAGTCTGGCAAAGGAAGTCAGTGACTGACAAAAACGAGCTCATTTGCATGTATATATGAGCCTGGCCTGCAACTGACGAGAAATGCCAGTAGACTTAGGGCCTAAAGGGCCTTCCTCGACGGGGCATGGGTATGTATCATGTGGTAAATATATGTATATATATATATATATAAATTATGAAGACTGCACAATGTGACAATGCAGTAGGCCTACACCTATTCCAGAAAGTATAGCTCTACTACTACTACTACGATCAGAGCTATTAATTAAAGTAAACATTTTTTACTTTAACTTTTACTTAGCATTGCTTTTACTTTTAAGTAAATAAAATGTGCAACATCAAGCTATCCCTTCGACTCTCAGTTCTCAGTCTCAGGCTGGGTTGGCACCTAATGGAGTTGGGTCAGGCTCGCTAAATCAAAGTCCGCAAGTAACGAACGGTTTGCTGGTACAACTCACAAACGAGCAGACCGCTAACAAGCTTGTGAAGATTTGTTCGTTACTCGCTACTATTCCGACATAGAGACAACAGTTCATTTAGTGAGCGAGCGGATGGACAAACCAACTAACGGAGCGACTCCTTCCATTTCATACTAATCCCCCCCCCCCCCAATTTTTAAAATAAATCTAACCACCCTCCTGCCCCCCATTGCAGATAGATCTAGGCCTTTATGGCAGAAATTTCTCTCCCCCTCTCCCCCCCACCCAAAAAAAACCAAGTCATATGGTAATTCTTTAAACTTCGCTTTCGAAATATTAGAATGTAAACAGTGTGACCCACACACAATGTGAAACGTTACACACACAGTACTACTTCATCAACCTCTCTCACTCCCTGTGGCATTTGAAACATAAGGCCAAAATAACAAACAATCACTATGGGCCTAACCTTGCGTTGAGTATGCCGTCTGCTAGAGTTCAACTTCCGCTGGCTGAGAGAATAAAAATAAAATTGTGGAGCGGACCAAAAAAAAAAACCTGTCCGCCCACTCCCCCCAACTCTATTAGCACCTTCAGTTCACACGCATTGTTGTGGCCCGCCTCCTTGCCTTGATTACCAGTAGGCCTATTCTCATAATTTTGTATCTAGATCTAGATCTAAATCTGCATCTAAAAATAAACAAACAAATAAATAAATAGGCTAAGTCTTCGGACGTTAAGTAGAGTAGTAGATCTAGACCTAGATATAGTGTTAAAAAGTAAAAGAGTAGATCTAGATAGAAGGACTTCCGTAACAAGCGACCACTATGACTTGATCTATGAGACAGACTTACAGAGTAGAACAGAGGGGAAGATCTGAAGGCTAGGCTAGTGCAGGGGTAGGGTTAGTAGGATTAGGGTCAGGTTTCGGTGATCTTGTAGTTCCGTTTGTTAAAGTCCACGATCTATTTGCTTACATCCAGAGAAGAAATCCGAAAGTCTTAATGACCAAATAGGCAACACAAAGAACAGGGATGCAACGTAACTGCAAAACATCAAATTAAAGTAAAATTCAGGTGGGGGAGGCATGCCCCCCTGACCCCCCCCCCCCTTCCACCTCCGTATTTTTTTTTATGTCAGGGAGCCAAGCCCCCCTGAAACCCCCCTATTCTTGATTCTTGGGACTCTCGTCAACGAAACTACAAAATCACACAGTTTTCTTTTTTATATTATGGCCAGCTCTATTTGGACTTGAATCCGAATAAAATTTTTATCTATTCAAACTCGAGTCCGAATATGGGTTTTATCTATTCAGACTCAGGTCGAAAAAAAAGTTTTATTTATTCGGACTTGGCTTCTAAATGAGTAAATTTATGAGAGTGTAAGGAGGTTACATTCTATAAATGTCATGGGGGGGGGGGGGGGGTTTTATGTAAAACTAAAATGAGAACTATGATTGCCTACTAGGACTGTAATTGTGTCAATAGTCAAAGGACTGCACTCTCATTAGATCTACCCAATGACAGTGTCTAAGTACATGGTAACCGACAACTCAGGGTCTTTCCACCACCACTATAGCATCATCATTACTTCCACCACCATTTGTCTTTCCACATGTTTAATTTCATTTTGTTGTTTGTGCACAAAACTGACAGCCGTGGCCTCTTCCCAACACCTCTTCCCCCAGCGAGCCAGGCAACATCGCTATGCGCAATCTCATTCACATTGGTCGACATAATTAACTTTGCCCCCGGCAAGGTCAGCTCAACTTAGTCGTTCTGTTCATACTAATGATGTAGGGAGGGCCAGTTTAGATAGATCTAGATCTAGAATCTAGATCTAGTAACTGGATATATATAATTAAAGCTCACGTCTCAACTGCTATAATCATAATCGAAAAAAAGTTAGGTATTTTTATAGAAGCACTCCCAATTCGCGTCACATCAACTACCGGAAGTCGGCTCCTTCACCACTTTCGTGCTGTCGGATATACAAATATAAGGTCAGTTTTTTTAGAAGGCTTAGTTTTAGGATTTCTTTTTGACAATGCATGCTTTTTTATAGAGGGGGGTTTCAGGGGGTCTCCCCTGACGTGTGAGCATGTTATAGCTGTGTAGTAGGGCGGGTGGAGGGGTTGAGGGGGGTGGAGACCCTCAAATAAAGTGCCATAACATCTAAACTAACCATTTGCGACGTTTTTCAATGCCAAAATAATTGTGTTCAGGGCCCTAAAAAGGCCGTCTTAGTCCGAATAACATTTTTTCATATTCAGACTCGTAACATTTTTTCATATTCGGACTCGAGTCCAAATAAAAAAATTTCTTATTCGGACTCGAGTCCGAATATGAAAAAATGTTATTCGGACTCGGGTCCGGAAAAGAGGAAGTGTCTTCGTTCTATATATCTAACGTTCAGTGCTTCCAATTTTCCGCCATTTTTTAGTTCCCCCCATACCTTTTCTGCCGATCCGATGCCCGCCGCCTCATTGATACTCCTCCCTCCCCCACCCCCCATGTTTCCCACTTTCTTTGTTGTAGAAAAAGGTAAAATTGAAGATTAGCAGACCACCTGGCACCTGCATATTATGAGCTGTGTAAAAAAAAAAAAGACCGATTCGTTCAAATACACAAGCCTGTGTCATCTCGATTGTTTACCAAGAAAAAGTTGTGTTGCTGTGTAGAGCTGAGCATACGGCAACTTTTGATTCCATAGACCAGCGCACAATTCATTACGTAGATCTACGTCAAGACTAGCTTATTATTGTAATAATGATCAGTTGCCGGGGGAAAAAAGACTGACGCGTATGCGACGTTCAACGTCCGGACCGATAGTGCCCTCACCCCGACACGCACACAGCCACACGTGTGCAGGCCGCCCATGCGACCCCGACACACGCTAACGAGCCATCTTTAATTGCTTCTAATGACCTCTTGACACATAAACATTTATTAGAAGTGCTATAACTTTTCAGGCCGGCCTCAAATTCATCATAAGATAATAACTCAGCTCCTGCACAAAACGCCATTTTGCCCGAAGTGATCCCGGTCTCTACCCAGCCTGAGGCGAGTCACAAGTGAGGCAGGACAGGAAGCCAGAGTCATGAGTCACAGGAAGTCGGAAGTCGGAAGTGATGTCATGCTGGAGAAGAATCAGAGTCCGAATAACATTTTTTCATATTCGGACTCGAGTCTGAATAGTCACTTCGCCCTAAAAAACCTATAAAAAGCTACAAAATAATACCCTTGATGCCTTGATGAGTCGGGAGGGTTTCTATAAATTTACCAAAAGTTCGTACATGCTGGAAATATTACATCGAACGTGCCGGGCAGGCCACCGGGGTCACTCAGTGTGTACTGTTGGTGTACAGCGCGCGCGCGCCGGGAAACGTGTGTTTTCGCCATGAATACCGCGGGAGTGTGTTAACCGATGATGAAAATAACGCTCTATCCTTCATAGCTTTCTATTCATAAAGTGTTACAAACACATGAATAACCCCCTCTCACAAACTGATAAGACATTACGAGTAGTTATATGCCAATTCGAATAACCTTTCTGGACGCTCTTGTTGTTATGAATGACCTGAGGTTCGAAAGGGGATAATTTAGCAATGCCAATCGCCCGCTGCGTCTTGGGCCGGAAATCGGCCTCCGTGCGAGGGGTAATTTTTGGGCCGCTCGGAATCAGAAGTGACTCTCTTCTAAGTATAGTTACGGGAAAACTCCTGGACGAAAAT